AGATGTTCGCAAAGATCAGGAATGTAAAGGCATTTTTTTTCAACAGAACATTACCTTGTAGTCTGGATAGATGTTCGCAAAGATCAGGAATGTAAAGGCATTTTTTTTCAACAGAACATTACCTTGTAGTCTGGATAGATGTTCGCAAAGATCAGGAATGTAAAGGCATTTTTTTTCAACAGAACATTACCTTGTAGTCTGGGTAGATGTTGGTGAATATCAGGAATTTAACGGCATTTTTTCAATAGAACATTACCTTGTAGTCTGGACGTATGTTGGCAAAAATATAAAGGAATCAACTGCTAGAGCAATTCGTAAGCCCCCTCCTTCCCAAGCACATGCTGTGATCTCCTTTCCTGGAACCCGGAGGCTGTGAAGATGCTGAAAAGGAGCCAGTTATTTTCTATCAAATCACATTTTTGATGTTAAAGATTAAGTTAATACTTATCACACTTTGATGTTAAAATATTAGGTTAATAGTTACTACATAACATTAATTTTGAAAATTAGGTTAACCCTTTTGCAATGGGATCGTGTAAAATACAGAATCCCTTCCATGCAATGATATGTGTGTAAAAATACATACCGTAATACTGAGCTTTCTTAATGTATTCACACAAAAACTGGTAAGATTTTGTTAAAGGTTATAAGTATCTTGTACACAAAGGATGACATTATTTTAATTGATTCTTTCTACTAAAAATATGTTATTTATCTATTGTAGTTACTTGCATGCAAACTCTAAATCGTTCAAATGCAAGGTGATGTTCATTTTAAGTATAAAAATACTTTTCTTCATCTTACAGTTTGAGTTTTATTTGCACAACCTATAGAACCTCCTAGGTTGCCCCAGGGCATATTACAGTATCTTCAGCAAAATTATTTTGCACTTCTGTAAGATTGTAAGCCTTGAGAACTGAGAAAAAGTTTGAGATATGTTCAAAAAATGTTTCAATCTTTCAATTATGCATTTTTAAATGAAAATAATACATAATTAACTAAAATATAAATGTAAAACCTAAAAACAATTTAACTATCTCTCTAACTATAACATATTTAGGTAAGAAACAATTGTAAGTGCTATCGTGGACAAGGCGGCCAAAAATACAACCAGCAGCTACATCTACCCAATGATGACAAAATAACTATTGTTTGGATATAGTATATAATGAGTTCTTTCTAATAGTTACAAAAATGTGCATCAAATAAGTGCACATGGCTTGTAAATCTCAAGGCTAAGTATAGATGGTGGGCATAACACCTCTCACAAGTTGGCAAAATTTATCTCTTCTTTCAACTGAACTTAGCCAAAAAACTTTGGAATATATATGCAAATAGTGCATTAAATGTAGTTTTTGTCTAGACATACCTCTACATATACTGTAGTTGTCTGGTTCAAGTTAGAGATTGTGAATGTTCAAATTTACAAATAATTGTGCATCGTGAGAACACTACTGAAGTTTAAGTATTTATTTAATGATTTCTTCTGAAATAAAGGAATTAAAACTTATATAGCATAAAACTTCAAATTCTAACAGGAATTATAATGTTAATTTCATTGACATACATTGATAGCAAATTTTTAAAATTAAGTTTTGAATGCAACTCAGTGACTTGCGCAGAAAGGAGTTTAAAGGGGTACCACTGTCAAAAGGGTTAACAGTTACTATGCTTTAACATTAAAAATTAAGTTAAATGTACATAGAAGTTGTTATTAATCCATATTTTTATGTTATAATGTTAAAAAAAATTACCAGGCCCTATAATCTTCAAACACAATTAATTTTACATATCAATTAACATTTAAGTAATCACATTCAAACACAGCTGTTATTAAAACAGTACTTATCATTCTGTAATATATGAAAATGATATGTCACCGTCTTCACAGTACTTATCATTCAGTAATGTATGAAAATGATATGTCACCATCTTCACAGTACTTATCATTCAGTAATGTATGAAAATGATATGTCACCGTCTTCACAGTACTTTTAAAGAATTTAATATGTTAGAACTTTACATGAACTTAATTTTCCAACCTTAATTTTTGGAAGACGGTGACATATCATTTTCATACATTACTGAATGATAAGTACTGTGAAGACGGTGACATATCATTTTCATATATTACAGAATGGTAAGTACTGTGAAGACGGTGACATATCATTTTCATATATTACAGAATGATAAGTACTGTGAAGACGGTGACATATCATTTTCATACATTACTGAATGATAAGTACTGTGAAGATGGTGACATATCATTTTCATACATTACTGAATGATAAGTACTGTGAAGATGGTGACATATCATTTTCATACATTACTGAATGATAAGTACTGTGAAGATGGTGACATATCATTTTCATACATTACTGAATGACACGCATTCCTCTTGAATGTGATGAAATAGAATTTTATTACATGAACCAAGAAACCATTTTGTTCAAATAAAACTCTTGCTGCAAAACACCAGAAAACAAGGTTTTGTTCAGCATAAGAAGATGTAATACTACAAAAAAAAAACTTCCAGTAACCATGAAAGTCATCAGTAAAACTTGTAGGAACATAAATCAACCTTTAAACACTTTTATCCAGTAAATACGACAAGTAATGGTTGTGAGAATGTCATTGAATTCCCGAGTTCCAGCCAATTGATTCAACCACGTAGACATGACTGACTCAACCACGTAGACATGACTGACTCAACCACATAGACATGAATGATGTGACCATACAGACGCAATTCACATGACCACACACACGATTCTGACTAGACAACACAAACGATCTCCTATCAACAGTCACAGCAGAACAGCTTAAAACTATCATTTGAGCAAAAGAAATATTCAACTATACACAAAAACCACTATACAACTATTAAGTTGTGTTTGTTTAAACTATTATAACCATTAAACTGATTTTCTACAGAATAGTGTTTATGATAAATTATGATTTATCTCCAAAATCAAATATTTTTCCTACTTTTCCCTCGGGACTAAAGAACTTGACAATATTTCTCTTCTCGCTGTCTCCACCAAATTGTTTTCCTGTTATGGCTAACACAGTACCATTGTGATTCCACTGCAGTGAGGTGGTGCTCATGTCAGTCTCAATCAATATAGGATCTAAAACATTCAGATTCATGCAATTCATTCAAGCAATAATGTTCTTTAAAAGAAAGTGTAATTCTAAAGAATATCTCTATTTTACATAAAGAGCATAAGAAAAAAATTCAGTTGTGGAAAAAGACATATAACAGTTAAAGAAAAATTTGAACAAATCAAACATAATATTTCTTTGGAGATTTTAAGCAGTTAAAAAACATTATTTTCTTCTACTTTTCAAAAAAACAGGTTTAATATTTTTGTCAACCACTTTACAATAAAAAAGGCAAATACAGAGGTGTTAACAATGTATAATAATAATACAATGATGAGATAGTGCCTAGTTTACAGACCCTTCTTCCATCACTCATAGTTTTCCTTGTGTTGACCCCCATTATCCTGGAGTCTTTTACGATACACTGAGGTCAACATGCCCTCCCTCTTTCCCCCATCTTCTTTACATGCTTTCCAAATTTCAACTATTTCAGGGGACCAAACCCAAAGCCCATGGGAGATGCCTACAAATGATATACCACAAATTCCCATTTGCACTCAAATCTTATGAAGAAATTGGCATGATAACTTGGAAATGTGGTTGGATGCTTTGTTTTGATGCATACCTACATTGTTGGCATCTAATTGATGTCTTGTTTTAATGCATACTTACATTGTTGGCATCTAATTGATGTCTTAATTTGATGCATACTTACATCGTTAGCATCTAATCGATGCCTTGCTTTGATACATTAAAACAAGACATCAATTAGCTGCCAACAATGTCAGTATGCATCAAAGCAAGGCATCGATTAGATGCTAACGATGTAAGTATGCATCAAATTAAGACATCAATTAGATGCCAACAATGTAAGTATGCATTAAAACAAGACATCAATTAGATGCCAACAATGTAGTATGTATACTGACATTATTGGCAGCTAATTGATGTCTTGTTTTGATGTATACTGACACTGTTGGCATCTAATTGATGTCTGTTTTGATGTATACTTACATTGTGGCATCTAATTGATGTCTTGTTTTGATGTATACTTACATTGGTGGCATCTAATTGATGTCTTGTTTTGATGTATACTTACATTGGTGGCATCTAATTGATGTCTTGTTTTGATGTATACTTACATTGTTGGCATCTAAATGATGCCTTGTTTGATGTAAATTGACATTGTTGGCATCTAAATGATGCCTTGTTTTGATGCATATCTACACTATTAGCATCTAATTCATGCTATGTTTTGATGCAGACCTACACCACTGGTATCCAATCCATGCTTCATTTCATTATAGTGGAAGTATGAAGAGAGTAGCCGCAGGTATAATTACGAGCAACAATATGCAGATTGTTATCATAGATCATTAACAATCTTTTACATGCCAGAGCACTCAATTAAAAAAATATATACAGCATAAACTTCAAATGGTATAAAATATCCTAATGAAAGTTTTATCAAAAAGAGTTACATAATTTTGCAACTTTTACACAGTGTACCATGCCTAATTCTATTTATAATTAACAAAATTCTCCTAATTTTTAAAACTCACCCTCATCAGTTTCGTGTCGCATCAGCTGTATGCTTCCATTATCATAACCAACAGCAAGAACAGGGGTGTCCTGGTCCACAAATCCACCACGCCCATTGTACCAGTGAATTCCTATCAAGCTAGGCCTAGAAACCAAGCTCTGAAGGCACGGTAGGGCAAGTTTTGCCTTTAATACACAGATCAATGTGTGTCTGATATTACAACTGGTGGATAGCGAATAGTTCAAAAATGTGTTTGAACTGTTCTTACTATATGATATCATAAGACGGGCAAAAGTTGAGACTTTTCTAAGATAAGACTTTTATAAAACACACAAGTTGAGATTATTCTAAACAAATAAAACTCACATAGACATGAATTCAGACTAAATGAAACAAACTAAACAAATTACATGCTCAATAATAACACGTAAAAAACAATACATGCAGATATGTATAAATATACACTAGCATTTTCAAATGAAAATGTTTTAGGATATATGAAAAATTCATAAAATGGACCTTACCACAAAGTGTTCACTGTGTTGATAAACATGAACCTTACCACAAAGTGTCCACTGTGTTGATAAACATGAATCTTACCACAAAGTGTCCACTGTGTTGATAAACATGAATCTTACCACAAAGTGTCCACTGTGTTGATAAACATGAACCTTAACACAAAGTGTCCACTGTGTTGATAAACATGAACCTTACCATAAGGTTTCCATTATGTTGATAAACATTAATCTTACCACAAAGTGTCCACTGTGCTGGTAAACATGAACCTTACCATAAGGTTTCCATTATGTTGATAAACATTAATCTTACCACAAAGTGTCCACTGTGCTGGTAAACATGAACCTTACCATAAGGTTTCCATTAGGTTGATAAACATTAAACTTACCACAAAGTTTCCATAATGTTGATAAACATGAATCTT